ACCATCATGGGCTGAAGATCTCAGTCCATCTTACAGTTTAACCTCTAGCGATTGGATTCTCGAAGACATCCGCATTCAAATGTGCAGGTGGAAGAGTAAAACAATTTATCATAATTCTTTTCTCTATGAACTTTGAAGCTTTATACGATGCCACCATATTTACGATTGGATATTATTGATAATAACTTGAAAAATATAATTTGCATATTATTTAGATGTTTTCCTATTTTTGTTAACTCCCATAATGCAGCACAAACGACACATAATAGTGTGATTTTGGTAAACAATTGCTATATAACATGGATAATAAATAAATTTACTGTTAATCCGAATATCCGCTTTCCTAGTAATGCTTAGCTAAATAAGTACGAATTAACACCATATATACTTATAGGATGTAAATAACACGCGGTTTTTGAAGTGCTTTTACAAATTTATTCTCACGTGTTGTCTTATAAATTAATTGAACATTAAACTGGAAAGAATTCTTGAATTTACTATTTTGTTGTACGACAAACACACAGATGATTCGTGAATACTAATTAATAAAATGATTCCACTATATATACGAGGGTACGTAAAAAATTACCCGCACTTTCTCTATATCATATCTTAAGTTTGTTCTACTGCATTCTGTTCATGTGTTCTTCTATCTGGTATTATTGTGATCATATGATCGAAGTTTCTTGCTGCTGTAAACATGGCCGCTCCGCTAGCAATGTACACCAAGGAGCAGTGAATCGATTTCACTGGTCAGAAGATGTGTCAGAGGCTGAAATTCATCCGAGGCTTTTAACACAATATGGTGACAGTGTAGTACCGCGTAGAAGTGTGTAGGAATGGATCGAAAAGTTTAAACGTGTCCGTAAATGTGTGATGCACGAAGAATGAGCAGGACACACGTCAGCCTCCACCTCTGGCGAGAAGATTCAGCAAGCTCAATAGTTGGTAATTGCAAACCGGAGAGATATTATCGATGAGATAGCATGTTCTGTGCAGATTGGGGTTACTGCTCTTTGTTCTCCTTGGTCCACACTATTAACGGAGCGGACAGGTTTACACTGTAACAGGGGAAAAGAAACTGGTGCAATCAAGATCAAACTTGACTCTACTTTTGTTAGTTATAGAAGAACAGGGCAATTTTGTGAAAGAAGAATGTGTCCAAATGGTTTTTCATTCCACGCTTTTTCGTCTAATCTAATAACCATTTTCAAAGACTTAGATCAATTTTCAATTACCGAATACAGGTAATACATTATGTAAATTCTAGCAGTATATTTATTTTTATATAAAGGTTTCAATTGTTTAAGATGTTTTTAGTAATTAGAGGGCCGTTTTACGAGCTCTCAATGAATGTATTGCATATCGAAGGTGGTAACTTATCTAGATTTTTGACCCTCAGAATACAAATTCATAAGATCCCATTGAAACCTGCATACAAATAGTCTATACTCTTTAAACAACATACTAGCCGACAAATACATGTGATACGCACTTCTTACTGTAAAAGGTGTTGCAAATAATTGAAGCACTCGTTAAAAACAAAACTTAACATCCTCAACTCCCGAACAACGTCATAATGTGCTAGCTGTGTTCGTGAATTAAAGATATGACTAACTCCCAACAACAAACCTACTATTTGCATTATCATTTAAAATATCTAACAGATTAAACTAATACTAATATTGCATTGTGCACAGACACACACACAAACACACAAACACACAGAGCCCACCTGTGTTTTATACTGTAATTATGCTTGGCAAATCTTAGATACGGTTTCTAGGAAATAGTGCATTATCTGGCCTGATAAGCATTTTGAGAAAAAGGCAAAGATATCTCAAGGTCAGAAATTGAACTTTCTAGCCACTTGGCCAGGCGCTTCTTTCTTTTTTTATTTATTTATCTCTGTCTGTCTGTCTGTCTGTCTGTCTGTCTGTCTGTCTGTCTGTCTCTCTCTCTCTCTCTATATATATATATATATATATATATATATATATGTTCATTTAAGCATGATTAAACAATTTATGGTGTGTTTGTTTATTTTTAATAAGATTCTAATCACCAAAACCACTTTCAAAGAAAAACTTAATAATCATATGATGTTATTTAAAATAGATAAATACGCAAATAGCACAACATTATCAAAATATGTATGGAATTAAAAAGAAAATAATATACCTACTCAAGTTTAATGGGAAAGTATAAAATTATTACCACTATATAATATTAGGAATAATAATTGTAAACTGTATTTAGAAAAAAGATTATTAATATTATCGTTTAATAATCAAATAAAATTATTAAGTAAGAAGAATGAGTTAATAGATAGATGCCGATATAGTAAAAAATATTTACATTCTTAGTTTAATGATAATATAACATAATAAATAAGAATTTAGAACTGGAAGAATAATTACTTCTGAAATAACGAAGAAATTAACAAATCAAAGATTTGATGAACGTGAGCGTGTAAAAGAACGTTAAATTCATGAATGCACATGTATACAACACGGATTGAAAAAAAAACGAGGAACAAATTGAAAAAAAAAAATGGAAAGATCATTTTAAAAAATAGAACACTTTCAATAATAAGTGAATCACAACCAAGAAATTTCGAAGTCGGAGAAAATAACAACAAAAATTTGAGTTAATGTTAAGAAATCTTTACACACACACACACACACATATATATATATATATATATATATATATATATATATATATATATATATATATATATATATATGCATGTTTCATTAAAAAACGGCAGACACGATTTTATTTAAATTTTCTTGTGTTCCAACAAGTGTTTTCTTTTTGGGACATGGCTGTATGGAAACTGGCCAAATGTTCTATAATTTCGAGCGCTTTCGCCTATACATTTAGCCATTATCAAGGATGATTTATTTTTTCAATTTAATTGGGTGTATACGTTGTGTGTATGTTTTAGTATTATAGAGATGTTTTATTTTCAATCGAATTCATAAATACTTACATCGGTCATACGACTTAATAAATCCTGGTAGATAATATTGCCTCGCTGTAAAGTTTGATTAAGTCCGGCGAAAAGACATCTCTCACACCTGTCTTACGCCCCTTTATATTATTGTATATTTATTTAATTCATTTTCTATCCGTATGCAGGTGTTTTGATCCTCATAAACTCTAATGTTTCCCACATAAATGAAGCTTTTCTTTAATTACAAACAGTTCTTTATTTTCTACCTGATCAAATACGTTTGTGTAATAATCTTCGACACAGTGATAACTTCCTTCTGTATTTTTATTGCACTTTTTCGTATCATACATATCACATTTCTTACAGCATTGTCTTCAAGGTAAGCAGTCCTGCCTTATTTCCTGACTAATACTGCTACGCGCTATATTTATGAGAATTCAGATGATGACTTACCTTATGTTGCACATGAGTCAGATTGTCTGATGGTGTTTGCAATCATTGAAACCTGGATTCTTCAAAAGTATTAGGCAAATCGATCTATTAATGCACGGTGGAGTAATGGATAGCGGCTCGGATTGAGAAATCAGAGAGTCGAGTTCGAATACCAGTCGAATCCATTACATTCACTTAAGTGCTAATAGCCTTTGGAAAGGTATGAATGCTATTCTTCTCCCCCCCCCTGCTATGGGTAAATAGCAGGAGAGACCGGGTTCTATACCTTTGGATGGCAACTGGTCTACCGCCGAAAGAAATGGCAATCTACTGCGGAAAAAATCTGCCTCGTCAGTCATCTATCGAAAGATACATGATCGTCTAAGCGTGTATCACGCATGGTACATAACTGACTGTATGTCATCATTATTGTGTATTCCATTTATTATTTTCGTAGATTTTCAATATCGAAATCATCTAATATTTTAGCATCTATAGTACAATCCCCTCTGGTTTTGGTTCTTTGTTCCTTTTATTATACCTTAGTATTGACTATTGCCTCATTTTCAACATGTTGAGCATTTTATCTCTCTTTCACAGATTTAGATTTCCTTGGGATGATCTTGTTTCATAAGATTCTCTTTATGTGTTCCACGTTGAATTCCGATTTCCTTCTAACTTTATTAGTATACATCTGACTACAATTCGGCTCATTCAGAGATCTGTTGTATTATAATTTGTGTGATGCTTTGGATTTCTTTAATTTACATAATTTTCTACAGAGATTCAGTGGAAAATGGCCGATCCCAAAATGGGTACTTGGATAAATTTTACAGTGTAAAACTGAATTCCTGTAGCTCTTATTTGTCGTTATGTAGAGGATCTGATTTTTTTTACTCCTTCTAGATTTCTCCATTTCCAGCAGTGTCTTGAGTGTTCTTGAAATCAGTTGTTGTTATAATCCTGTCGTTTGCCGTGCACCATAGATTCACTTTTCTCCATTACAGTTTTCTAAATCGAAATTGCCAAATATTTCACTATCTCAGTCTTTCCCTATTTTAGCATTCCCCATGGTCTTGGACTTATCTACTTTTGTCAGTCTCCTCGTGTTGAGGCATATACACTTACAACGGATACATTAAAATACTTTCCTTTCAGTTTAAGTAGAAGAATTCTATCAGATAATTGACAGTATCCCAGAACACATTTTGTCATGCCTTAGTCCAGCAACTTTTCCCCAGTTATTTTTCTTTCCGGCTACATATATGTTCCAGTGTCTGTCACTGACGAAATCTCCATTTGTGAACCCAGTTTTACATTAATATTTCGCCATTCATTGCTACTTTTATATTTTTAACTTAGTGTTCTTAGATTCAATTTACCTATAACTATCTTTGTTTCTCGCAATAGTCTTATGTAATTAAGTTTGCTATTAATTTTTAATATACTTACAAATAAAGAAATAATTTCCATCTTTTCAGATATATCTCTTCATTTTCTTTTCAGTTTTACTTTCAAATAGTTACAATTTCACGTAGAGAAACTGTTCGATAGTTGCGCGTTTTTAAGTCCTGTAAGTCTAGTCAGGATTTTCTTTAACCGCCGACTATTTTATACTTGCATGAATTTTTGCTGCATGAAACAAGGTAATAAGGAGCTTTACAAATGCGGATTTAAAAGACCTCAGGAGAGAGAAAGAAAGAAAGAGAGAGAGAGAGAGAGAGAGAGAGAAATGCTGATTTGAAAGAAAGAAAGAAAGAAACAAAGAAAGTGTGTGTGAGAGAGAAATGCTGATTTCAAAGATCTGGAAAGAAAGAAAGAAAGAAAGAAAGAAAGAAAGAAAGAAAGAAAGAAAGAAAGAAATGCTGATTTGAAAGATGTGGTGAGAGTGAGAGAAAGAAAGAGAGAGAGACAGAGAAATGCGGATTTGAAAGATCTGGGGTGAGAAAGAGACATATAGAGAGAAATGGTGGTTTGTAAGATCTGGGATGAAAGAAAGAAAGAAAGAAAGAAAGAAAGAAAGAAAGAAAGAAAGAAAGAGAAAGTGAGAGAGAGATAAATGCTGATTTGAAAGACCTGAGGAGAGAGGAAGAAAGAAAGAAAGAAAGAAAGAAAGAAAGAAAGAAAGAGTGAGAAAGAGAAAGCGAGAGATATGTTGATTTGAAAGATTTGTGGAGAAAAAGAGAGAAAGAAAAAGAGAAAAGCTGATTTGAAAAATCTGGGAGAAGGAAATAAATAGAGTGGTAGAGAGAAATGCTGATTTGAAAGATCTGGAAAGAAAAAAGAGAGTAGAGATGAATGGGTCAGTCATCTTTCTGAAAATATTGCCTCATTATTCTCTTCATATCCATCTGCATTCTCCTGTGCACCAATAAGCTAAGATATGCAAAGATCCACAGCCGCGAAGCCTTCATTCTGAGTCTCTTTTAATTCTTCTCTTCACTCTGAACATTTTCAATCGTATGGTTATCTCCCTTCGCGAAGACTATAGATTATATCTTACTTATTCCATCACAAATCTTTGATAAATAAATAATTATTTAAGATGGCTAAAAACATTTAAAACAAAGGCGACTATTGGCAGCGCAATGAAAGAAAGCGGATAAAAGCTATAAAAAGACAACGAAAACTGCTAATCTTTTGGGTCAATGAATCTTCGTTTTTAAGTACTGCCAGCTTATTTTCTTCTAAGTCCGATTAAGCGGATAATCTGCTTATCAGACGATTAAAATTGAAGTAAAACTTTTCCGTTGTTTGATGGGAAAACTCGGCGATTTTGATGAAGGTTAGAAATTATTCCGTTTTCATTGTGAAATAGTTAAAAGAAAAATGCTGTAAACTTTATTTATTCACACTTGTGAATTAGAGTCACTTGTAAATTAGTCATTTAACGTAGACGCTGTTTTAAAGATTTTGAAGATGCAGGTAAGTTTTTTTTTGTGAGAAAGCATAGGAATATGTCAACATTTGTGCTTGGTTGACGCATAAAGTATGACATCATAATAACCTGTTAATGTTCATCAATGTTTCGCATACTGAACAGTTAGAATAGCCGTTACCGTTTCTGTAAGGTGGACGGTTCAATTGGATGAACTGAACAAGAATACTGACAGCTGCAGCGATTAATTCCGCAATCCACGAGGTAGATTCATATATATATATATATATATATATATATATATATATATATATATATATATATATATATAATATAGATATGAGTATCTGACTTGCTACGAGTGACATTTGTCCGAACGTCAAAAAATACACGCGTCATACTTCTATTCAGATTGAGAGGTATTATAAATATTAGAATTAAGCATATAACTTTCTATAAACAATGAATCTATTTTCGAACAGAAAATTATAACCGTATTACTTTTGCCTTAGGTTTAGTCTTCATATCTCAAGAGATATTTACTTCGATTGTTATGAACTTCTTCTGTTTCTTTTTAATTCTCTTAATTTTTGGAAAGCAACTTTCGCAATCCCACTATGACTTTGGGTAAAGTAGACAATGTGATAAATAAATAAACAGTTTAACGGCAATAAATTAGACAGAATTAATTTCATTGATAAATCATCTTGATAGATAATTACAAATATATATATATATATATATATATATATATATATATAGAGAGAGAGAGAGAGAGAGAGAGAGAGAAGAAAGAGCATTAGAAATGTACTCTCATCTACTATATTGATATTTGTTTACATTTCGAAGATATACAGCTGTTCCCTTTCATGAATCTTACATTCTGGAATACTTGCATTACAACTTACCGATCGTTTGTTTCTCCGGCCTTTTTAATGTTAACTAATGGTCCAAACTGAAAGTCTAACATCATTAAAGCAATTAATTCCTGTTGTGTCCTAGTAATCACAGCGTTTTAGTTAATGCTTTCTTTAAAAATCTTGTTTTTGTACAATTTCTTTTATCAATTTAATAAATTTGTTGTGATGTTTTTTCAAAATTACTGTATCTTTTTCATTCATTGCTAAACACTTTGGAATGCACGAGCTTATATATTTTCCATATTCCGAATAATAATCTCATCTTGTTTGCATTTTTTTAAAAATTAGCTAACCGAAGGGGATAAAGAATGTTCTTTAAAATTTGAATTTGAATGGGGATGATAGTATAGCAGAACCGATTGTTCAAAGATCTCATTCATCAGGAGAGTTAGTTAAATAAAATTCTGTGATGTTGGAATGAAAAATGAATCTCGAAGTAATTTTTAATCAAATAAATATTAAATAAAAAATCATATTACTTTCTTCTACTGAGAAATAGATAAACAATTTCTTCATAAGTCTCTTTCCTGTTTTTATTTTTATTTACAAATATACAGCCAAGGTCAAGCCATAGGATTTGTTTAGTAGGGATTAAAGGTCAAGAGACAGTCTCAATGAAATGGACTTTCTGCAGTTTTTCTCAACAAATCCATATAAATGCACGTTTTTACTAATCAAAGACCCAAGGATAGAAATCGATAAATAAGACAAATTAATGAATACATTTCTCTTTCCTTTATTGAAGTTGACGTTGAACATTGGAATGTACAGTCAACGACGCAATTGTTCGTATACCCATCAATTCTGAATATTTTCATCCATTTCTCAGAATCTAAGGCCAGTATGATGCCAGTTATTTTGTCTTAATAAGCACAAAAAAGAATGGAAAACTCAATTTTCAGAACAATAGGTGAGATACAACAAATTTGACAGGCGAATTATGCAAAATAGGAAAAAGGCAAATTTATTCGTACAGTAGAAAATATCGTTTTAAAATGATTGATTTTCTTAAGTCTAAGTAATTTACATAATTATTTTATCCCTAAAGCCTTCTATACTATTTATTCAGTAGAATATTTGTGATAATTTCAGTAAAGAACATGACATGGTGCAGAGAGTGTCACCATTGTTATTCTTACGTTAACTACACGATGAGGGAAGACAAAGGATTTTAGCGTTGACATGAGACAGAGAATTATTAACTTCCACAAGTCGGGAAATAGTTACAGCTCTATTTCAAACCGGTTAGCTATCCTTAGATCCACGGTACAGTCCATTATAAAGAAATTTAAAGAGTTTGGCACGAATTTGCCTGGGCGTGGAAGAAAACCGAAATTGTCACTGAGAACTGCCCAAAAACTGTGGAGAGGTGAATATGAACGGAAGCTTTGTTTTGAAAAACATCGTCAAAAGTTGGGATGAGACAGGTATCAGATCAAGTATTTGTACAATACAACGTTGTTTAAATAGAAATGGGTTGTATGGAAACCAAACATAATGAACCCCTCTTCACAAACCATGTTACAATGGTGCTCAGTTTAATTTCGCCAAAACATTTTTGGTCAAACGATATTGCTTTTAGGAACAAGTATTATGGAGTGATGAAACAAAAATTGAGCTTTTTGGACATAATGATGCACAAATGATTTGGCGCAAGAAAGGGGAGTCTTTCCTCCCAAAGAACACAGTGGCAAAATTAAAACATGGTGGCGGTTCATGATGTTTTGGGTTGTTTTAGCTCAGGGGGGACAGGAAAATTAATTGCAATAATAGGAATAATGAAATCTGCAGACTATATCATGATTTTGGATGAAAATCTACAACTATCAGCGCAAAAAATTCATCTGGGTGGGCGATTTACTTTCCAGCAATATAATGATCCCAATCATATGTCTAAATCAGTGACTGAATTGCATCGGAAAACGAAGATTTAGTTCTGCCATGGCCTTCAAATGAGTCCTGACTTGGATCCTGTTGAAAATCTATGGAAAGAATTAAAATTTGGAATAAATCGTCGGTCACCAAAATACTTTCAGTAATTAGAACGTTTAACCACTGAAGAATGGAAGAAAATCCCAAAAAATACTTTTCCTATTTTGCATAATTCACCTGTCAAATTTGCAGCATCTAACCTATTGTTCTGAAAATTGAGATTTATGTTCCTTTTTTATGCTTATTGACATATAAAAAACTGGCATCATACGGGTCTTATATTCTGAGAAGTGGATTAAAATATTCAAAATTGATGGGTGTACGAATAATTTCGTCGTTGACTGTATATGGCTATATTTCTGAGATGAGCTCTTTTACCTATTTACATTGCTGACATTGTTTGGACTATTCCCCTTAGCTTTTTTGCCGTATTCACGATGTTTCAGTTATTGTATATTCTGGCCTTCATCAGGTGATATTTGTTGAAATTTTGAACCGAAAACGTTATTTATTCCACGGTGTAGATTGTTCAAAATTCCTTGTAGCATGCATTTGGATATCTCAGTTTTAGTTAATTCCCCTTGATAAGTTGTTGTTCTCGCCGCCTCTTCAACAGCGGAAACGCCGTGAATATGAAAATAAAGATAAGAACAGCAAAATGTAAATAATGTAAATGGGAAAGTATGTTGAATTTTATTAAATAAATTGGCAAAGAAAAGAGAATGAAGGAAACAATTGAAAGAAAACACGAAAAAGAAAAAAAATACATAGAAACAAAATGGTTCAAGACTTAGTGTGGAGTGAAAAAACGACGAAAATGGCAAATCACCACGACATTCTACATGTAAGCATATACGTGCATTGAGGCGTATGGGCGCATGCGGGCGAACGTTCACACGCTAACATACACTACATAAAAGACGAGATAAGAACTTGCAGCAATGAAACTCTGGAGTCGGGATGTTGAAAGTAACATCAATCAGCTAAGTGACAAAACATTTAGTTGCATTAATTATATATATATATATATATATATATATATATATATATATATATATAGAGAGAGAGAGAGAGAGAAAGAAAGAGAGAGAGAGTTAGAGAGAGAGAGAAAGAGAGAGAGCGTGAAAAACATATATATATATATCATGCGCTATGAATTTCTCAATAGATCTTTAGCGGAACTGAAAGACAAACTAACGTAATATAATGCAGCATGTGCCAAATTCAATTTGGTTTCATGTATATCGAAAGAAATTGCATGTTATTTTCCTGATTGACACACGTAATGAAAAAGTCGGCCATGTTTATAGATTGAGTCACCAAATACACTGAGTAGGAAATAGTGAACCTCTTGAAAGTGCTAATGTAATCAAGAGAAAAGATAAATATCTCATACAGAAGAACCCACTATGATCCATACAAAGTTTATGTCTTCTAGAGGTGATGAATACGATTTCTTCCCGCTCCAAATGTGCTAAACAAAATGGCCACGTCTAGATCGAAGTGTGTCAGTAATTGTACCAGTAGGATACTCTTTCCTCACTAATGACACAGGTGGTAACATAGCTCTCCTAATTTCCA